AATAGATGATTTTTTTTAATGATGATGAAATCAGAGCAGACCTATTGTCATGTTTAATCCCAGTGAGAGTCAAGTTGGGAATTGATAATTTCTTTTTTTTTTTTTACAGAGGATCAGTTTAGTATGCATTAAGTAAGGATTTCAACAGTTTGCACCCCCATAGAAACACAAAGTGAAATATATTGTTTGAGTACTCGTTATAGCATTAAATCTCAATGCACAGCACATTAAGGATAGAGATCCTACATGAGGAGTAAGTGCACAGTGACTCCTGTTGTTGACTTAACAAACTGACACTCCTGTTTATGGCATCAGTAATCTCCCTATGCTCCAGTCATGAGTTTCCAAGGCTATGGAAGCCCTCTGAGTTCTCCGATTCTTATCTTGTTTAGACAAGGTCATAGTCAAAGTGGAGGTTCTCTCCTCCCTTCAGAGAAAGGTACCTCCTTCTTTGATGACCTGTTCTTTCCACTGGGATCTCACTCGCAGAGATCTTTTGCCAGAGTGTCTTGGCTTTCCATGCCTGAAATACTCTAAGAGCATGTATTATACTGCATTTGTTTCAGGGCAGCACTCTAAGTATTTCCTTGGCTTGCACAATTCCTAATTCAGGATTTTGTTTAAGTGCCACTTAGTCAAGGAAGATTTACGGTATGACACTACTTATTCTCATTTTTCTATTTTTGTCTTAACGTTGGTGTTTTTAATTAAATATATATTTATTTATTTAACTGATTTTCTTCTTTTTTAATCTTATCCACCAGAACTCAAGGTGTATAATGTTATACTATTTTTCTTTTGTTTTGACTATTGTACCCCTATTGTCTAAGGCAGTACCTGACTCACGGTAGACAGTCACTAAATATTTGTCAAACAATCTAATTAATGAGTGCCTATAGTATGCCAGATAATATGTTATGCACTGGGACTAAAATTCATACTGATAGCAAAGCATGCACCGCTTTTGCTTATTTTTCCAAAAACAAATAAGAAGCTGTAAGCATAGTTTACAAAAACACATGTCTGACTAAACTTAACTGGTATCAGCAAGTCATAGTGGGAAAAGTGTAGAGAAGGATGCTTCAAAATGCCTGAAAAAAACACAAAGCTAAAAAGTTAGTTTATTTTGATGCAAAATGGTTTGGAAATTCATACAGAGATTTAATATAGTATGTGTTTCCATGAACTTTTTGAAGAACTTTCATATACATATATTTCTCCCAATAATATATTAGGATAGTCAGGGGGACCACCTAATATAATCCCTGGAGGAGATAACTATAAAATGATCATTGGAAACTCCAGGTGGAAGTCTAGTCTCATATTTTATATAAACATATATAAAATTGTACCTGAATACACCTATAGTTATTCTAACAAATATGGTCACTGAAAATAAGCATGTATCAACAGATTAATAATACTTCAGGTTCTCCCATTAGTATTACTTTGTGCAGAGAAGCCATAGAAGGAAATAACTCATGAATGGAAAAGGTGGAGCTGAATTACAAGTGTTATGGAAGCCTGATTACGTAACTGCCCTCCTTTTATCTTATAAGGAAATCTGAGAAACATTTGGTGTAAGAGCTAGTGTATTTGTTATACAAAGGTATAAGTAGTCAAATGAATGAATAAATACAGTAATGACAATGAATTGTGTATTGTATGCTCTTGCAACAAAATGAACCCAGGTAATTAGGGAGTAAAGAATGAGAACTTTTTAGATAGTCACTGTGTTCTCTTTTAGCTAAATGTTTGTAACATTCATATGGAAAGAGAAAAGAGGTTTGTTTAACACAAGGCAAAGGGGATGAGTCATGGAAAAGAAGTCAGAGAGGCTAAGGAGGATCAGAATTTATAGCTCCTCATATTTTTATGAATCATCACAAGACTTTGTGCAACAAAGTGCTGTTTTCTTTTGTTTCAAAAGAATCACTTGGCTTGCTGAAAACATACTAAAGGTAGGTCATTACAAAAATATCTCTCACAAGGTTATTTGAATTGTCTGAGTGAGAAGCAACAGTAGGCTGACTGGGATAATAGAGGAAAGGTAGTGAGAAGTTGAGTTATGGAAAGTGATAAATTCAATTTTAAATGTGACACAAAAGAATGTTCCAAGGACAAGAATGACTCTAAAGTTTTTGTTTTAGTCAGTAACTTATTAGCTAATATGAGGCAAATGGAGTAAGAGGTTTCAGAAAAGGAGATCAGGAACATAATTTTGGCTCATTAAGATGAAAAGAACTCTAAGAAATCCAAGTGTTAAGGTTAGTTAGTTAAGATATAGAAGTTTGGAGCTCACAGAATTGTTGAGGGATGTGGACCACACAGATACTTCCAATTACATGATACTGGAGGGGATTACCGTTGGTGCATTGTCAAAAGCAGAAGTATGCCCTCAACATGAAGAGTAATACAGAGTCAAGTAGAAATATGTTTAGGGGCTGGCCCTATGGCATGGCAGGTGACACTGCCAGCTGTGGTGCCGGCATACCATGTAAGCGCCAGTTCGAGTCACAGCTGCTCCACTTTCAGTCCAGCTCTCTGCTAGTGTGCCTGGGAAAAGCAGCAGAGGATGGCCGAGGTTCTTGGATCCCTGTGCCCTCATGGGAGATCTGGAAGAAGCTCCTGGCTCCTGGATTCTGACTGGCCCAGCTCCTGCCATTGCAGCCATTTGGGAAGTGAACCAGCAGATGGAGGACCTCTCTCTCTGTCTCTCCCTCTCTCTCTATGTGACTCTGCTTTCCAAATAAATAAATAAATCTTTAGAAGAAAACAAAAGCCAGAAATATATTTAAATATCTTGTCTGTATGTGTACACATCTATGTTTATATTTATACTTGCTAGAAGATGCAGATTGTTATAGCCCAAATATCAGAAAGGACATAGTAACAGGACCAATCTGACTCTTTATACTACTAGTTGTGTGGTTTAGGGAAAGTTAATAAATTCTTAGTCTGTTTATTTGCTGACAACCATACTAGTAATAACATCTTACTTCAGGTCCATTTCTGAAGAATATATTTGCAATGAACAAACTATTAAATGTTAATAAATACGTATTTTCTGTTTTTCCTTATTGGTGTATAAACAATTTTTCCATTGTAAATATTAACATCCTTCCTTAAAAGACTAACTTGACATTTTCTATAAAACAAGGATAATTAAAATTTAATGGACTATATCCATCAGTGATATGCTTGTGTTGCTCTTTTTTCTTGATTTTATTACTAGAATAATTTTATTCCAATATTCCAACTGTATTACTTCACCTCAATAATAAGAAATTCTTAAATTTAACTGAAAAGTGATCCCTGTTATATATAAGAGTGGGAATAAGAGAGGGAGGAGATGTACAATTTGGGACATGCTCAATCGGACTTGCCCCAAATGGTGGAGTTAGAAATGTACCAGGGGATTCCAGTATAATCCCATCAAGGTGGCATGTACCAATGTCATCTTACTAGTCCAAGTGATCAATCTCAGTTCACAATTGATCACACTGATAGGTCTAAGAGTCAAAGGGATCACACAAACAAGACTAGTGTCTGCTAATACTAACTGATAGAATCAAAAAGGGAGAGAATGATCCAACATGGGAAGTG